TCCTCAGATGAAAGAAGGAAATTCTAGAAACCTCTTTGATCTGGGATTTAAATGACAGGTCCTGATCAAAAATAACACCAAGATTTTTTACTTTATTATCTGAAATCAGTGTAATCCCATCCAAATGAAGTGACTGACTAATCAGCTTCTTTTTCAGAGACTCTGGTCCAAACACTATAACTTCTGTTTCACCAGAGCTGTTTCAGTGCTATGAGGTGTTAAGACAGACGGAAACTCTTAAAAAAGTTTACAATGGGGTAATCAGTCCCACACTTGTTTTGGAACTACATTCTAAAGGAGTCTAGTTTAGGAAGGAAGATTGCATGGGTGTAGGTTTGCATAGGGACCATAGGGACATGTCCCTACAAAAATTTTGGACCGACCTACTTGTCCCTACCAATAATTGGATGTGAACATGTTTATAATTTACAATCCAGCTTTGTGGCAGCAGTGGCTTCTTTTCCTCTGGCAGCTCCTCTGCCTGGTAGCTGCAGCTGGTCTTTCCTGTATCTTTCCTGTAGCAGCGCATCAACTGTGCTGTTTAACTCCTCTGATTTTTCTGTCTTAAGTTCCGCCTTCTCTCTTTCTGATTGCTTGTTTTCGAATCTGTATGTGAGCGTTTGTGCATGCTTGGAGCATGGAAAAAAAAAATGATCCCAGAATACGGCGATTACCAAAATTAACATTAGGCTTTGAAACTAGTCCCAATTAAAAAACTAAATATTATCTAGGCTAAAACAGGCAAAAGCTTCAGATTGCAGTTCTGTAAAGAAGTAGGAGAGAGATTTGATTTGTGGAACTTGAGAAATTTAAGTAACCAACATTAGGATTTCTTTTATAATACGAAATAATCTGAGTCAGACAAGAGTTCTGCAAATGCTGTTAAAATGAGCAAAGACTGTAAACTGTCAACATTTCTGATTCCCTTTCACCAATTATTTCTTTTATAGAACATAACACAAGAAGGATGCTAAAGATCTGCTATTTTTGTTTTCCACATAAAAATAGTTCTGTTTAATTGATTGTACTTCTAGAAATAGGATAAAGACAAACAGAGGAACCCTATTTACATTGATTCTATTTTTCTAGATTTCCACACGGTCCATAAGTAAATTAGTACAAACATTAATTTTTGGTAAATAATGCCTGAATCTGGCTGTTTATTTTGGATACTATTACATTACAGATACGATTGTGTTATATTGTCTTTTATACTGTTAAAAGTGATTTTAACAATAGGAATAAACTTAGGTTCATTGTTAGTGTTGTGTATGAAGATGATGCCACTAAAAAAGAAAATAGACATAAGGAGCTATTTAAACAGTCAGAGAGTAAGAAATATAGGATGATGATAAAAGGTTGTTAAATTTAATCCTTTACTATTAAAAACACTTGTATAATAGAAACAAACAAACAACTAATTGTAGGAAACAGATATAATGCTGCAGGGCAGCCTCAGGGTGAAGCAGCTGCCTTTCACTGCTGCATGATGGAAGAAATGTGTTTGAAATGTTACCATAAAATTAGGGCTGCAACTAATGATTAATCTGCAAATTAATTAATCTATCGATTATTTTTCTGATGAATCGATTAATAATCAGATCACCCAAAGGTTCCTTAAAGAAGATTTTTTTACTAAATGAAATCAGGTGAAACAGAAACGTTTCCTCTTGAGGAGTTCTGGATGGAGAATATTGACAGACAAAAACTTTTTTAAATCTTAAATGCAAAATGTTTACATATTTTTTCACAATCTTGGTATAATTCCTGCTCGAAGTGGGTCGCTCTGTCGGCTAAAGGCGCATTTTAGTGGCCCTATACTCCAGTTAATGAATAATCAATTACTAAATTAGTTGACGATTATTTAAATAATCGATTAATATGATTAATTGTTTAATCCATAGATAAAATACATGAAATGGGAGACACAGAGTAACTACAGCCAAGATGTACAACTTGAATAGTGAAGTTAATATTTTAAACGCTCAGTGTTGGTTCCTCTTATAGTTCCAGTACTCATGTAAGTACATTACATTTTTTTGCCGTCCTTTTAATGTATTCTTTTGCATGATACAGAGAGAGCATATTAGATAAAAAAAATAAGAGTGGGGTTTAACTCTGTTTACCTCTGCACAATTCTATATCTTCAAAAGAAAACAGGATAAATCCACATATAACAGACATATTTAGACTATATTTGGTTAAATAGTAGCTGGTAAGTTTGTATGCTTTTCCAACAAGGCAAGGCAGAGCCTATTTATATTATTCATTCACCAACAGACTCATTTAAATTGCAACGCTCACTATG